CCTGTGGATTTTAAAATATTGAAATTTTCAGTTGTTTTGTGCCTGTACAATAAGTTTTCATTAAAGAAAACTTATTGTACAGGCACAAAACAACTGAAAGTTTGTTAGTGTTATAAACCAGGTGTTGATGATAGTGCTCTAAATGAACCCAAAAGACTGTTTCTATGTTTTGTTTTTATAGATTAAATAAAAAGTTACTACAGAAAAAGATTAAAATTTTCAAGATCTCCTAGGCAAACACAAGCAAATGAAAATACATTGGGTGATTGGTTAATGAACAAATTGGATAATGAACACTTTTGCAAAAGATTTTTATGTTCAGACAACAAACACATGATCGGATAATGAACACCTCACAGAACAAACACAAGAAGTGACATAAAATAATGAATACCGATTGGTCTTCCCTGTCTTCAGACAACAATTTGAAACTTTTCGGGGCAGGGGAGATGTCAACATTGATGCTCAACCTGGTATATACTGATCGGATAGTATTCCTCCAAACTTTGAAACTCTCCCTTGTAATTTCAGCTTTTTGTTTTTGGGCGGGCACTCGTTAAGTTTTGCATTGGTTTTTATTTTTGAAAGGTGAGAGTATAATAGCAAAGGTAGAGAGTGGGCAGATGTCTCATGTTTGTTGTTGCTGGGCAGTATGGCTTGAACAGGTCTACAGTAGGCAGCAGTTCAATCTTATCTAAGAAATATACTATATTATCAAGAAGACTCAAGTAGCTTAAGGAGTAACAAAAATCACATCTGAAAAATAAAGAACATCGAAGAGTTCATAATGGAATCTGAAATGATCTGACAACAGAAGAATGCCAAGAACTCTTGAATGAAGAACACCAAGAAACTCGACGAGATATGTTTTTTTTTCTGAAAAAGAGAATTAATGTTGATATCTGCTATTAATCATTTTTTTTGAAGAAGTGGGATGATGTCAGAACAACAGTTTTAAAATAGCATTCAAACCAGGTTGAGTTTAATAGGCTTAGGGATCTCTACAATTACAATGCTATTAATTACTTCTGAAAAATCTTGAAGAAGAGAGAAAAGCAATTGACATTAGACAGATTCTTTAACCCATACAAATGGAAAAAACATGACTAATAAAAATGCAAGACTGTGTGAATATGTATTTTTATTATTACATATAAATGAACATAGTAAGAAAGTATATATTTTTTTATTTTTTGGGGTCTCCAGAACGAATTAATCAAATTCCCATAAAAACTTATGGTAAATTGATAATTAACGAACAATTCGGATAGCAAACAAAGTCTTGGAACGGATTATGTTCATTAACTGATCACCCACTGTATCAGATTTTATGAAAAACATTAGTGAAAAATTAAGATGTTTCTGATACTTCAAATGAAGGTCAACAGTAAAGCTCAAAAGATGATATTTTGCCAAAAGAAAACATCCATTTAACAGTGTTTAGCAGTGAAGAAAAAATTAATATTATTTGCTTGTGATTGATAGTTGATTATTGAATAAATGTATTTCTCATAAATACAAAAAAAAAAGTGTACTTTTTGTTAATTTTTGGAACCTAATCCTATGTTTTGTACTAGTCCTTTCTTTTGTACAGCACAGATTTGCATAACATGGTAATATTTTTGGAACTTAACTGCCTTGTTACACAGGGGATACATCGTAGGAGGTGGTGACAGCCCGCACTCATAGGTATAGCCCCAGAACCAGAAAAGGAAGAAAGAAGTAAAGTTTGTATAAGAAGAGGGTAAGGTGAAGGTGAAAAGAAGTGAGATAGGATAGTTGAAAGTTGTTGAGGGATCCATGGGTGCCTGCAATGCATTTAATTGGATTGAAAACAAAGTGCATAATATATACAAAGATGAGCATATAGTTACAGTAATACATGTTTTTGTGGCACAATAATTGAGAACTATTTTACCGATATGCGTACATAATACAAGCTTGTTGAACTGACAGAAGCATGTACAATAAATTTATCAGGTACTGTTCACGGTACTAACATAAGAATGGGATGCTTTTAATTGGCTAGAAAAGAGAATAATGACACCTAAACAGGTCAAAACAATTACGATGTGACAATACTGTTCGTAAAGCTGCAGTTGGCATCCAGGGGTACAGTTACATGCACAGTTAGTAGCACTTAACAGAAAACTCGTTACACCTGAGAAATAACACATGACCTGTAAAGTCTTGCAGAAACTTACAATTTAGGATGAGTGCCTAGGGAGCACTTACAATGTGTTACCAAAGAAGACAAAGTATTCACAGTGATAAATTCAGTATAGCAGGTTTGATCGCCGAAGTGATGGATTTACCTACACTAAGTCCTTGCACTTAAGGAGAAGCCCTCATAAAGGTACCACAGGTACGTCCACAAAGATGCTCAGTCAAGGATTTTTATATCCAATGCAAAAGTCTTTAGGGCTTTGAAGATATTGCTGTTATCTATCATAGTCTTTCTGTGGCATGGCCATAGTTCATTTTACTTTTGGATCGTGCTTATGAGTACCTTTCACTGTTCGTTGTACGATGGGCAGTGCCAGATGACATGTTCTGTGTCTTTGTCTTCATATAGGGAGCATGGGCACATGCCGTCAGTCTTCCGCAGGAACCTATTGAGGTAGCTGCGGAAGTTGCCTTGCCCGGTGAGAAGTTGAGTAACCTGGAATGTGGGGACAAGATGCTTGCAGAGGTTTCTCTGAAGAACATTGGGAATGAAGCTGTAAGTAGTCTTGCCCATGGAGATGTTGTCCCATCTTCCTTGCCAACACTTCCATGAGTGGCTGCGGATGCTCTCCTTTAGCCATGATATCAGGGTGACACCGAAGGAACATCTCCACGTCCAGACAGGCACTGAGCGAGCTAAGAGATCAGCCCTGTTGTTGCCCTGAATGCCAGAGTGTCCCCTCACCCAGGAAAGCTTGATGAATATACTGTGTCGTAGTGTGAGCAGAAGGTCAACGCTAGGGTTTCTCATTTCCCGGTCTTTTGCTTGTCCCGGGATCCCGGGATAAAAGTGAACTGTTTCCCGGGATCCTGGGAAATCCCGGGATAGAATTAATTATTTTTAAGGTATACAAAATATCTTGAAATCAAATGATATAATTATTTTCCATTTTTTAAAGTAATTTTAAAGTTCCGTAACCTCCAAAATCATATTAATAATGCTGTGTAAGGTCTATAGGCCTATAATAAAAATTACCTTTAAATAACGTAGAAATTTTCACAAATAGAAAAAAATTAATTAAAGTTTGCTGGAAACTGCATACAACAACAACAAAAAAAATGTTTTGAATTGAGTTAAAAATTAAAAAAATGAACTTCTAATTTAGAAGGTAATTTTCGTTTTTTAAATAAAATATAATACAAAATATTGCAAACTTTTATAAGATTTTAAAAAGCAAAGATGGTCAATACTCCGATAACTCACTCTAATTCTTATTTTAGTAATGAAAAGTCTTGCCACCGAGAATGCCCTTTCCGATTCAATTGATGTGATTGGAATAGTGTTTAATGCATTTAAGAGAAGACAGATATTATGTGTTTTTTCACCTGTAGCCTGGAAGATTTCGAGTTCGTTTTCGAGATTGTAGTACTTCTTTCGCTCTCTAGTATTCTTGATTTGTCTACCTTGGCTGCTTTAATAGCGGCATCAAGCTTAGAGCTCGATAATTCGGCAATTCATTTGGCTTTAATAATCAGGTTTATGAAGAAAAACTTCATACTTGCAGACTTTGTACTCGTTTGTATCCTTGCCCAATTTGCACAATCTGGCGTCAGGCATTTATTGAAGCTACTGGGCATGGTTAAAACTCAAGACAGCGTAAGCACAATTATTCCAGATATTACAGGTTCCGACAAGTAAAGAATTTTTATAGTCCTGCCACAAATAAGCTATATATTGATTATTGACCATTTGTGACATGCTATAACGAGCAAAAATTTAAAAAAACTAATAGGTAGGTTTAAAATTAATAAATACAAATGTATTCTGACAGTGAATGAGTTAATTATGCTTTCTATTTGCAAAATTCCTCAACCTTAACACAAAATAAGAAAAAAAAATGAATTTTTAAGAAATTTGCGGGATTTCCCGGGATAAGAAAAATTTCCCGGGATCCCGGAATCCCGTTTGAGAAACCCTAGTCAATGCTATCTTGAATTAATACCTCAACTTACGCTACCCTGACTTACGCAAATCCGGAGTTATGTGATTTTCAAATCTTGTCGATTCGTCTTTTGTTTGAGTGCTATGCAACTCTTGATTACTCGCTCCCCAACACTATTGTTCAGCTTACATGTTCGGACATGTCGCATGGAATTGACACATAAATAACATAAAATAAATTGTAGCTATTTCTGTGTTTGTTATATCTACGGAGACTTGAGAAACACTATGTGGTGATTTCTTGTAATCATGAACAAATCAATAGACGAGATAAGATTAACAAGAACATTTATTAGCTTACATACATCCCACTTGGATTTTACACAAATTGCAAAATTATACCCCGACTTACGCGGTTATCGCGCAGTCTCACCTATTGCATAAGGGGTATTACTGTATCTGTATTAGGATATCTAGTAAGTTTTTAAAAACTTAGCAGATTATATTTTTACTATTATAGTTATTTTGTTATCAAATGTTTTCTATTTGTTTTAATCTTGATTTTAATGTATTAATCAATGAGAAAAAATTAGACTTCATTGATTCATTATGTTGTTTGAGATAATGAATAAATGAATTCAAATAAATTTAAAATGAGAAATGAATACCACTTTTATATTTTATTGAACTGTATTATTGAGTTAAAAAAATTTAGCATAAATTACTATGTACTGTACTGTACAGTAGATACAAAAACTATCTATATAATTTTGCAGTTCTTATATTTAAAAAATCTTGTTTATATTTTTACGTATTTTAATATGTATATATTATATAATTATTAATAGTATTAACTATTTATTAATAGTAATAAGTATGTTCATTTTTTTAGATGGAATTTTACTGATTTTTGGCATTCCTTATTATTAATATTTCGTATTTTATGTGGTGAATGGGTTCAACCTTTATGGAAATGTATGCAAGCTGCAAAAGATAAATATCAACTGTGCATTCTTTTCTTCATAACTGTTCTCACTGTTGGCAGCTTTCTAGTTTTAAATCTTTTTCTTGCTATGCTACTCAACTCTTTTAACTCCAAAGAACTAAAGAAAAAGAAGTTAGTATATGTTAATTATATTATAAGATTATGAATTATTTAATTAAAGTTATTTTATAGATAAAGTTTATAAATTTATTTACACAAATTTATAATCTTTATCTACACAAACTTAAAAATAAATTTCTTAAAATCCAGCAAAAAATAGATTTATTATAACTCAGATGAAACATCTGCAAAATAAATTTGCATTGGTGTTTTTACAATAAAATATGAATTTGTCAATACAGTATAATAAATCTATTTTGTGAATTTTAATTTTAAAAAGTTTAGAAGTATGTTTGATTTATATGAAAAATTTTAAAAAATTAATATCCTGGACTATTATCTATTTCTTTTACATCAATTATATTTAAATGTAATGTATCATAAAATTTAAAAAATTTAATTGTTTTTATTCATATAAATTTTAAATAATAATTATTTATTATTATTATTATTATACATATATTTAATGTAATAGATTGTTAAAATAAATAGAAATTTTCAGTTTACAAATAATGTCAAAGGATCATATAAAACTTGGTGATAATGATGTTAACCATTCAGTTGTTGCTGACACTTGGTCACCATAAGGCAGTGGCATAGCATGGGTGTCAGCCACCTGGGGCGGAGGAAAAATTCGCTGCCCTCTTATTTAGGTATCTCAATTTAAAAGACTAAAATTCAGTTTCGTCACAGAATAAGTAATGAAAAATTCCGTGCTCATTTCAATCAGTTCGAATCGTAGGTGCGACAAAAATATGAAATGAAATGATTCAAATTTTTACAAGATATTATTATTATTTATTGTAAAATTTTTCCACCCCCAAAAAGTGCCGCCCGGGGCGGGCCGTCCCTGCTGCTCCCACTACGCTACAACACTGCCATAAGGATAACATTTTTCTAATGCTGTCTGTCCCTGACATCCTCTTTCAGCTGCCACATTGTCATGTTGCAATCAGCCTTGATCATGTTCAGCCAGAGAGTTCTTTGTCATTCTCTTTGTGAAGAGCCGCTGATACATCCCAGCATACTATCTTTTTCCAGTTCATTTGCATGTATAATGTGCTCAAAATATGAAAGCTTTTGCTTGGTGACCTTGGCCTCTAATGTCATTTCTGGTTTGACATGATCCAGAATAGTCTGGTTTGTGATCTTTGCTGCCAGGGAGTGCAGAACAGCCCCTTGACAGCAAAAATCACAAACCAGCACCATAGCTCAAAGGCATTTATTTTTCTTCTATTGGCTGTTTTAACAATCCAGGTGTAAGGAACCAAGTCTGAGCTTTATTTTTATTTTACTTTTATTTTGCTTTCATTATATTTTGTTTGGGGCTTATGTTTTGTTAGGACGAAGTTTCCTCACCATTCACCTTAGTAACTTAAAAATAGAAGAAAAACCAACTCACCGACGAAAGAAAAGCGCCGTAGAAAAACTCGCGCACACTTGCGCTTTCCGAGCGGAAAAAAGTAAGTCCGCACCGACGAAAAAGGGGGGGGAAAGACCCCACAACCCAGTTAGGAATCGCTAAACCT